AAAAATTTTAATATAAATTCCTATAAATATTCATCGTTTCTCTTTTGCTCTAAATACCTAAAATTCTACATTCTATACCCATCAAAATATGTTACACAGTGACACGAACACACGCCAAAAAACAGCTAAAAATATGAAGCTCTATTCCCGAAACAGCGTCGTTATTTAATACACAGTAAAAACAGCAATAAATTTCCAAAAAAATCTCTATTATCCGTACGTAAGTAGCAACGCTCCCCAAACCAAGTGTAAACGTTAGAAAAAATTTCTAAAACTACAATCACAGTCGGTTGAACTCGACCAAAGCGATCGCCATTTTGATATTTCCTCTGCGAAGAAAAAAGAACCACTCCCTTGCGTTGACTGAGCGCGAGAAAAAAATATCGTTCTCGATATTTAAATCGTACACCTAATTTAACACACGCGTTTAACAGCCGCTTTTATTCCCACGGAGAAATTCCGAAAAATCCGCGTTTAAATGAATTAAAATACGCGCGCAAGGGTAGATGGAAAAATTCAGGGAAATACAGGTAGAAATAAAACGTACGCAGTTCATACGGTTAATTAACTCCCGACGAAATTGAAATACGTCGTAAGATACGAGTTTCCGATATGAATTCCACGTCTACGCGGCCTGGCTGCGTGAAATAAGAGACATTCGTGTAAGTTACAGCGCGCGCGTTTTTCTTCACGTAGAATCGTTTCCACGAAATAATGTTCCGCGCGATAAATCGTTTTGTCCAATCACACCTTCGCAGTTTCTCTATTCTTGCAAACGCGACATTTCACGCGTAAATATTGGCCACGTTAACGAACACGTAAATGTCGGAAAAATATTTTAAACAAATATACATAGGTGAAGTAAACTTTGAACAATAACCTATAGGTCGTGAATAAATTTCAAATATTTTGTTTCGTAATTACTTCCGTGTCGTCAGGTTCTATCGCTGAACAAAAACTTCGAAACGAACCAACGAATGCGTTGATAATATTATATATTTATCGTACAAATACACAATGCGAAGTGGAAATAATAGAAAAACGAGTAAAACGTAGTAAGAAATTATTTCAATATTCTACGCATAAATTAACCTACAATCTATATATCGTGAATAAATTTTGAATATTTATTCCATAATTATTTCAATCTAATCAAATTCTATCACTGAACAGGCGAAGTATTTTAAAATGAACAAATAAATGCGTTAATAATATCATATATTTATTGTACAAATGCACAATGCAAAGGTAAAACAATAAAAAGGGAGTGAAACGTACAAATAAATTTACCTCCATATTGTATACCCTATGAAAATGGTCATAAATAAAGAGAATGTTTTCAATAGGACTCAACGAACGAACAAACGTGCCATTTTTATTCAGGGAAATTAAATTACACCTACGCCCCTGGACGGTCGCTTTAAATATCCCATTTGAAGCGTTCACCGCGAAAAATGAATTAAAACCAACTCGCGTCACTCCGGTGCCCATGTTCAGAAGCTCGATTGTCAATTAAAAAACACAGAGAAGGTAGGAAAAAGAAAAAAAAAGAAGAGAAAAAAAACAAGCAGCTCGAGCCACGGCGGGTGTTGTTGTTGTGGACGGTGCTTTAGCCTCGAATCGAAATCAATAAGCCGATTATTGGTCGGGCTGAACGGAGATTACGTTGCTTTCAATTGACACCCCGACACGAGCCCCGCGCGACGATTGAATTTCGCGGACTTTCGAGACGGCCGGACGTCCGCTCTAGTTCCTTTTTCCACTGTCTGATAGCGTGAAATCACGCTCAACGTAATCCTCGCGGACACTCCGCGAAGAATCGACCTTTTGTCGCGGTCCGGCCAAGTTTACAGCTATTATGCGGCCGTGTTATTTGCTTACGCGGCTGCAAACAATGCGAAGCATAGGTATGACGAGGAAGAGAAAAAGAAGACGAAGGAGAGAGAGAGAGAGAGAGGGGAGGAACGAAGAAAACAAGGCGTTCTTTTTTTCAACGCCATCTACCCGTTTAACTCTAAACGAGAGACCGTTAAGTAGAACGTTGTTTAACCGCGAAACGAGAGTGTGGCTGTAGTTCTAACTGCGTGCGAATGGAATTTAAATCGAACGAAAACAGAATGAAAAGTAAATGCGTATTTAATGTAATTTTAATGTAGATTGAAAAGAATCCTCGGATTCTGAGAATAGTAAAAAAAGGAGGAAGATAACGAATGAGGTTTAGATGAATGAAAATTAAACGAAATGGAATCAGAGTGGGGAAATTGATTAACTGTAAAGTACGAATGGTTGAAAATTTTAATAAAAATTGCTTGAATTCTCAGGTGTTCAAGTTGTCAAATTTGCAATATTAGAGGAAATTTCAAATGTTCGTACGTTTAGCGTAGTAACTAGATCTTAATCAAAATAGCTAACACTAACAGGCGTGAAATTTTCGAGTACCCGTATACCCCTATACATACATATGTAGTTTGTAACACAAACAAAGAGACGATTACCTGTATTAGGAATCTCAATACCGTCGAATCCGTCGAAATAGAATATTTAACGTTAATTTTAAACCTAACTGCGATAAAAAATAATCCCGTGTAAAACGTATTATAAACTAAAAATAAACAACATATCGATGCTGCATTCTTGTAAAATATCAAGAATTGTTTTCAGAACGTTTCTGCATGTTTAACGAAGAAATGTCAAGCAGAAAATGTTCGTGAAAAGGGAATACACTTCTAACGGAATTAAAAATACCCATAATTGCTTTACCGATACTGGATCCGGCATTTCAATGTAGGGCGAATACTACGTGACGTTACGTGACGATCGTCCGCCAGAAATTCGCATTTATTAAAACTCTTTGAAACGTATTAAAAACATCGACATGGTTCTACTCACGTGAAATTTCATTCGCGTTCACGCATACATGCACTCGACGATCCTCGTGGTCTTTAATTTCCTCGTGAAGCAATTTTTGATACTCAGTGATCAACAGTGTGTCGAAACGGTCGATACAAACACATTACACGCGGCCCACCGACAAACACGTCATATTTGTTGTTACGAAAAAAACCGTTTCACGCTGTACGAATTATCCGGGAAGGATATTGCCGACACCTGTTTACTTAGCACGAATTTCACAATACCGGTAAGAACAAAAGTCATGACGTTATCAAACGTAACTAACGGCACGCTATTGTTTCCAAAATTTCGGTTAAAATCATACGAAAGCAAAGCAAACCCGACTTGTAATGGATCACCGGTGGCGCTGCGTATTTACTTGACTTTTAGACAGAGGGCGCCAAACCAATAGATCATCTCTACCGTATTACACGTTTTGGCGGTTATGTGCTCGCACAGATGCAACAATGGGGCAAACGGTAGGACGTATGCCTGACACATGGGACTGTTTATTGGAGGAAAAAGATCGTGTTTTGTATTGGAGCGGCGAGGTTCTATCGAGGGTGGCTGACAACGTAAATCAAGAAGAATCACTGTTGATTGATTATGGACACGAGAGGATCGACGAAAAAGTCGACTCGTGGATTGAATCGAGTCGCGCGCGAATCGACAGAATTTTCAGTAAACATCCAAATCTGTCGGATGGATACAAAGCTCGAGTAATAAACGAACTGGAACAAGTAATTATTTTTATTGCCTTTATATTATTCTGTGTTGTCGATTTTCGATTGATCTTCGATTAATCGTTAATCTATATTTCCGTTTATAATGTAGATAATTATTTGTACGTCATGTACAATGTGTAGATCAAAGAAGAATTAAGAATAAAAATGATAAACGATTACTGTCACGGCTACAAGGATCTCCAGAGGTTCACGAGAAGAGTGGACCGATTAGGAGAACGACAACGTAAGGTACATGAGAAAATTCAAGAACTTCAAAGTGTTTGCGATGGAAACGTGAAAAAGTTTCAGAAAAAGTTCGGACCACTGCGAGCGAAAACGTTCAAAAACCTTACAATAGGTGAAAAGATGATTTTTCAAGATAAGAGACTAAAAAGACAATTTGCTAAACAGGTATTAACTGCTAAATATCACACTTTATATTTTTTCCTAAAGAATAATTATTACATTACTCTTTTTTTTACAATATTAGGTGTATAATATTGATCACAAAAACGTGGAAGAATGTGCTAAATGTGTTGATAAGTTAATAAAAACCATCGAAAAAGCTTCGCTTAAATAGCAATAATAATATTAATAACGTCGATTTAGCATAATGTCAGAGACATGTCCGTATTATTGAATCCTGTCCCGTACATTAACTATGCGGTAGACATCGATACGATCTCAAATTACCAGCAGCATTTCCGCAATAACATTAAGTCATCCTCAACTCCTTCCGTTCGCCACGTTAGGAAATGTCACATTTCTCACCGAGCGCAAATTTGCATTAATTGAGTTTTGGCAACAAGAGAATAGAGTTGCCGGACTGATTATCTGACGGATGAAATATTTCAAGGAGAAGCAGAAATTATTGTTCCACGTCGCAAAGCCATTTAAGAAAACACAGTACTTGTAAAGTTGGTTTTACTCGTTCCACGTGTAATACTCGCGACTATTTGCACCTTGAACTTACTTATACCTTTCCACGTGTCAGCAAAGAAGCTATTTTAACGCGATACGATTGATGGTACGGACAGAGAAAATAATCGTTTCCTAAGAATACAAAAAACGAGGTTAACTTGCATCGCCCCTGTACGTTCATACGTATAATGCCAAGTATTCTTAGCTGAAACAAAATCTTTCGTTTAACCGTTCGTGTAACTATTTTCTTATACATTATCATGCACAACGTGTGTGCAAATACATTTATAACGAATAAGTTAAAAATCAACGATTCACAAGTCATTTGTGTAATAGCTGGCTTTTAGGTATCGTGATCAATTCTACCAGATATGATTCATGGTATGTAACTTTTTAGAAGGAAGAGGAGAAAAATGAAGAAGATGAAAAAAGAGAACGATACCGGAATGTTATCAACACTGTTGGAGTAGGCTCGCTTGGAGATTCTCGTTACCAGGAAAGCAGAATATACGAGATGGTTACAGATTAGATATATGATCTTCAGAGGGCCGTACTTACTTCAGCATCTCCGCGCGGATGTGTATCGGAAATTACTGAAAGTTCGATGATATGATCGATGTTTGCATACCAAATTGATATATTTAAGCACTTTATGCTAACCATAAACGAAAAACAAATCACTACTTCTTATTTGATTCTCGACTAAACTTAACGATGGGTATGCATTTTAAAGAATGCTGCTAGTACCTTAATAAAGCATCTGAAATTTATGTTCGTCTTCCAGGGATTGTATCAAATACTCGGAATGGCAGGGGCAAAATAGTCGGTGGTCGCAACGGCGGTCGCTGGAAGCCGGACAATAGCAGGAGGACAGGAGGTACGAGGAGTCGTCTCGTCTTCTCCACCTGAGTTTCACTTATCACCATCTATGAGCGCGAACTGCAGTTATTATTGTACTTCAAAAGACTCAACGAATAAGAAACTGCATTATCGAATATTGATGTCACAAATTGAAATTTATGCATAAGAAATGAATCATTAATTTCTTGAATAGAAGTTGTTACAAAAAGATGTGTAAGAAAAATTTTCAACATATAACAAAATTCCTTTTTTCTCAGCTGTTGTAAAATTATTATTAATTTATTTTAAGTGTTAAACTAATAAATACGCAATTATGATAATATTAGCACGTATTCTTTTCTTAAGCGTTAATAAATATGTATAGAAAAATAATTTACCTATTGTCTACTATAATATCAATCGTATTAAAGTGATGCAATTTATTTTTTGCAATAATATTTCGTGTAAAAATAAATAAATTTGATATTTATACATTTGATGTAATCTATATGTGCAGAGTCTATTAAAAAATAAAATACTTTAACATAACCTTCAATAGCCGTGATCGTCTAGTGGTTAGGACCCTACGTTGTGGCCGTAGTAACCCAGGTTCGAATCCTGGTCACGGCAGTGTTTCAAACATTGTCACGGGAAGGATAATTTTTTATTTTTTTCACTTTCAAAATTAATCTCCATTGTTCACTCTTTCATACAATATATAAAACTAGTAATGTCATTTTTAAATTTCAATTTTTAATACTTTATTGCTTTTTTCCGTTCATAATAACAGGAGGTAAGTAGAGAATAGACCAATGGATTCCTTTGTCACGTGATTTTGGGGCTCTAGAGCCCCATTACCATTCTCGTGTCACTTCCAACGTTACCTATTCAGCATAGAATAAGATTGCAACACTAACAGTGTTCGGAATTAGAATTGAACATATGAAACATACTTCGTTTATGCTTATAAAGCGCCGATTTTGAAAACCGGAAGTTGATATTTTGTTATATGCAATAATGTATCTCTTACAAATGTAAATGAATGTTACAGAAGTCATTGTTGCGTTAATTGTTTAAATTCTGTTGTAATTCGTACGTACTTTTATTATGACAAACAGAAAGATGTCTATAAGCTGTCAGCAAGTTTTGACTTGTAAAGTTAATAAATTTCAGGCCTAATTAGGTCAGACTCCAGTCTGGAGTTCGCGTTTCGTCTTTTCGTCGTCATTATCTTAATAGTTTTAAGTTCTTCAAGTATAACATGGAACGATATCAGTTGATATTTTTTATTTTTATTTTATACTATACTGGAATATTTAAGTGTAGTGTTTCTTGTGCTAAATCTGATGAACTACAAACACTTATTTCAACAAAGTCCAACCATCCTGATGTACACAATGATTACCAAGGTAATACAAATGTGTGAGCAATTTAAAAAAATATTATATTGCATCTCGTATATAAATTTTCTGCTCAGATTCGAATTACAAAATACATTTTCGTAAAGAATTAAAAGAAGATAATTTTAATATTAATTTTAAAGGTCTGACTGAACAATATCGAACGTCACGTGGTGTAGCAGGATCTAGACGACACCTTCGTGTTGGTAAGGTGTCAATAATTTAAAAAGAAACAAAATTAATCGTATTAAAGAAGTCAGAGTATATGAGAATATTCAGTAGATAATACTATTAATTTTTGTTTTAATTAATAATTCTTAGGTGATGCTCATCAAGTTGCAAATTATTTTCTTACTGGAGGACCTTTAAAAGGTCATGCTCATTTCAGAAGAGAAACAAATTGTGATTCAAACAATGATGAAAACAATGTAGTTGGAATGAATAATCCAGTTAGTGAGGACAATACATATCCATCTGAGAATGAACAGAATTCAATGACAAATTTGTCTGATTCCATTGTTGGAGCTTCACATATTCCTGCATTATATTCACCATTTGGAGCTGCTCCTCTAGTTCAAGCACCAAATTTATACACTCCCCTTATTAACAGTGTTTTACATCCAGCTTTAAATACATTGAACACAATGCCACATTTACCACTTGGAAATGATTTAATAAGTTCTGTGTTACATCCTAATTTACACCCACACATTCAGGCCTTACATGATATTCCTAGAGCTCTTTTAAAAACAGCTACTTTACCAATACATAGCTTAATAAATGCACGGTCCGAGCTTCGTAATATGTTACGCCCACAAGGTTCACTTCTTGGAAACACCAACAGAGTAAATAACATAATGTAATATCATAAGTACACATCCATAATTTTCAACAATAACTTTTATATTTTCAGGCATTACAACGTACTAAACTAAAAAAGAATAGTAAGAATAAATTAATGCCTACAAATGAGCAATATTCACCTATTTCAGGATCACCCCTCACAAATTACAATAACAATGTGCGTAGTATTTTATTGTAAATGTTAGTTAACTTGTAAAAATTACATCACTTACATGTTACATTTACAGATTCATCCTTATTCTTTAACACATTACCTTCAACCTACTGGTTATATAGTACAATACATACCCCACAGTAAACAAACACGACCATTATCTCAGATTGTTGGTTCACCACATCAACAATCTTCTGATTTAACAAATAATACAGATAATAATTTGAAAGAAGAAGAAAATGTAACAGATTCAATTAATAATGAAAATGAAGGTACAACTAAAAATGAACAATCAACAGAGAAGAATCAAGCTGAAAATGATAGTGAATAATACAATTCCTTTCATATGAAGATATAGAATCTAACTCAATATTCATAAATATTCTGAAATTTTGAAGAACATATGATAAACATGATGTTAATCATTTAAGAACTGTATTAAATATTTCTATATACGAATAGAAAAAATTCAGATTAACACTGGGTGTGTCACACAAGATGTAATATAATTTCTTTTTGTACAGGAGAACAATTCTTATTTTAATATTAAAATATACATAAGTGAAAAATATTTATAACTTTTAGTGTGTTTATTCTGTTTTATCCTCTCCTGCCTTTTCCTTTTCCCTTTCCCTTCTTTGTTGATAAATTTGATGACTGAGTTGACTGTTCACCACTGGTTTGCTTTCCTTGTCGAGTTTTCAATCTTGGAATAGTGGTGCCTAGGTAAGACATAACAGAATCCCTAGTGGGGAATTCAGATTTTAAAGCAATGCCATCATCACTTTTCAATTGTACACGAATACGCCCGCGATATAACAATTCTTTGCTACGTTCTTTTGGATGAAGTTTATTTTCTACTGCAACATTGAAACCAGCTGCTACCAAAACATCACGAATCTCTTGATGCGTAGGATTTTCTACACATTTATCTTTTGCGAGTTTCCGACCTTCTGCAAGAGTTTTCTTACTATTTATATAAAGGGGATAAATACAAATCCACCTAAAACAGAAATTAAATGGGGATTGCATTACTGTCAGTTTCACGTGAGAGAGGTTATGTAGCAGATGGTACTCATGTACTGTATACTGTGAATGAAATTCACTACTTAAGACTAATTTCCTAAATAATTTAGCAAAAAAATGGATATGAAGTAATACAATAAGTAGCTTGATAGTTTAATAAACATACCTTTCTCGATCACTATGTTTCTTTGACGGGTTCCATGCGAGTGCCATGTTTAATGTTTTCGATAGATTCACGAAGTAATCGATCACACGACTTCGAATTTAACGTTCTTAAATCATGAAACTAAAAATAATTGACTTCGTATAGAAAGTATGTAAATTACGACAATATCAGAACAATGTAAATAGAATGGAGAAGGATCAAAAGAAAAGAAGGAATAAAAAAAATAACCAACTTGGGCTCGTCCGGGATTTGAACCCGGGACCTCTCGCACCCGAAGCGAGAATCATACCCCTAGACCAACGAGCCATGATATTGAATAAACATTCGTGTGATATATTATTTTTTAACTAATTTAAATAATGAAATATATGACGAATACTTTACGAATAATTACCACAATTCCTCATGTTTTAGATTTACATCGCACAAAATTTATTCTCTTAAAATATTAGCGCGGAATTATATCTATTTCTAAATTTGGTATTTGTTAAACAACTTTTATACACCACTGCAAATGATCATTTGTTAGACGACACCAAAAAAAAATTTACTACCATGCAACTTTGTTTTTTACATGATATTACTAACCGATATCTTTTGCGATAAATATATCGAGAATTTAATTAGTATAAATTCTACGACTAGTAATAAATTCATGTGTCATCATATTAGTGGCTCAAGAAAGAGGAAAGTGCGAATTTGTAACCTCTTTCAACTTTCACTAGATGAGCTGATTTCGTGGTTAATAAGCAATTATCGAGTGTAACGGTGAAAGTGTGTACTCCGTGTGACTTACTTTCGCATAGATAGCAACGATAATAAGATCATTGTATGCAGCATGTGTTTCAATTGAGCTCTCATTTGCAACGACTTAGGCGTATAGTGTAATAAGCTGATGAAATCGAGAAAATTAGGTCAGATAAAGTACGTGTGTGTGTATACTTCGAATATTCCCAGGGGAGAATGATTAAATAAATAAACATTTCATCATACGTGTATATACATAGTACATATTTTTATAAAAAAACACGCATCGGCTGATATGCTTATTTGTTTTCTTTTTCTTTTGTCAAATAGTAATCAATAAATAGTGTTTGTAAAAGAATGTAAATGCATAGATATTTATGTTATTCAACATTTTAGGAAAAAACGTTCTAAAAAAATAAGTATTTTCCATAATAAACGTAATTTTGTTTGCAATCTTTCACAAACAGTAAACAAAAGAAGAGGATCAAAACGTTTTCAATGAATGTCAAATTTGCGGCGTCTACATATAATTAGCAAATTAATAAAGATGGATTGCTTTAAGTAGGTTAATTAATTGTGAAAAGGCAAGAGGAATTTTCTATAATTCATTTTATCGTAGATCAGGATGTCCAGAAACGGTTCAAATGGACAACGCTGCAGTTTGTCCACCAAAGTGGGTATAGAATCGAGTGTAATAAAGAAAGATTAGCAAAAAAAAATTTCATTTTATTGCAGATTAGAATCTCCGAAAGCGATTCACATGGACAATACTACAAGTTGTTTAAAAAGGTGAGTACACTATCAAATGTAACTTGCTATCTGCTATTTGCAGTCTGTTTACTGATAAGAAAATTACTCCTTAATTACTTCGTCAAACTGTCGTTCAATATTTCGCGATGTAAACATACCAAGTGCAAATGTAAAAAATGACATACGTATCGAGTATAATCATAACTTTGTCAGCATCTTTTTAATGTTTCGTGGAAATATTCCAGACAGTATCACTGAAGAAAGAAAATATTAAAAATTAACGTAACAAATCCTTGCAATTCTCATCCAAATAGTATCATTTACGAAGAAATAAGAATTTCGCACTTATCTTCTTAACCGTACGAATTATGAAAGCAAACCTCTAAACCTAAACATTGCCGTTATGTAATATCTGTAATCATCGTAAATATCGTTTCGTACAAACTGTCTGTCAATTTTTTTTTTTCCATTGTATTATGAAACTTCACTCCCCGCTGATTTGACGTAAAAAATATAAATTGGGACAAGACGTAATATCTTAGAGAACGGATACAATGGATATCTACTTTTTCTAGCAGACCGCAATCTCGAGTGATTCAATAGTTTTCCTTGAGATCTGTATCGCTTTCCTACTTCAAAAAACATCTGCCTTAAGGCCGATTTCTACGATGACGAAGTTGCAACAAGCGAGCAGGCGCATACGTACTTTGGTTAGTTTGCGTGCACGTCAGTCACGTTTGCGATCTACTCGTGCTCGGAAGGATCGATTTCACTAAATGAAAGTAGTTTCAAAAGGAAAGGTTTTTCTTTTACTAAGAGACTGAAACAGTGTTTCTTACCAGATTGGATTACAACCCCCTAGGAAATAATGAGCAGTTACTTTTGTTGAGTTTCATCTTTTAGTTCCAATTATATCGATCACCAATGGGAAATCCGCATTCGAAGGATACACGTATCGGAATACGAGGTGGTAAAATGTAAGTGATTAGATTTGAAATTAGCAACAGATATCTTCAAATGTAAAATGTTAAGATTTGTGTTTCGAAGCATCAAGTGTCCTCGAACGCGTCGTATCTATGATGATGCTATATTTTCACAATTATACAAATGTCATTCAACAATTGCAAGCAGAATTCGTGAGTTAGTATAAGCATTCTTACGATAGTTTCAAACTTAGTTGCATTTATTTCGATTGCTATTGTGAATAAATACGTTTGGAAAGTTGTTGTTCCGCAAGTCATTGATCTATATGAAAAAAGACGATAAACAAGACGCGTTACGCTTCTCGACGTTCGAGACAAAACAAAGATATGACCAGTAATTGCACTTTGCCTTCGTCGTGTGTGTACAAATGTTTGCTGTATAATTAATCGTCATTGTCTAATTATGCAAATGAAGTAGATCGATTTATTAGCTTTGCACTTGTTGCAATTTTTTGCACGCTCTTTGAAATCTAAAATTGAAAACCGATAAAGTATTATGTAAACGTCAAAAAAGAAACGCGAATACGAAAAGGTAACCTAAAATGTGATCTTGTGTTTTCGTTTGGCGAATAAATAAAAGATAAGCACTTTATCCTGTGTCTAAGCAGTTAAAAGGCTCGTAACTTGATAATTCCTAGGGAACGGTGATGTGTCACGTGTTTTATCATTCTATAATTTATCGCATGAATTGAAGTTCATATAATCGCCTAGTGATCACGCTCATTTTTTATTGTGACTTGTGCATCTTTTTTTTTATCACGCGATTTGTATAATCCTATTACGTTACTTACAAAAGAAAAATATAAAAATAAAATAGACTTAACCTTAATTAGATAACCTCAACATTTCCTTAGATGTAGTAAAAAAAATAGTTTCCTTTTTGTGCGAACGTTATACCTTATTCGATCGAAGAATATGACGCATGCAATGACTTGTATTACGTTTTACAACATATTTTCGCGTTTACAGATCACCAATGCTTGTAAACAATTCTTAATCACACGACGAAAATCCATAGATTATGTTGCAAATACTGTTGTATTGTTGCAGAATTGAAACAGAAGTGAATATTCGTTACAATTACACAGTTCACGCGCATTATATTGCTGTACATATCGTTGCACACGATATTTGCAACATTTTTCTACCTGTTTCGAATTGTATAAATAGCGCGAAATTTTCCTAGATCGTATTCATTTCAATTTAATATCACGCTATAACAGGTTACTGACCCGTGATCCGTATCATCGTACGACATGTATAAAAAAAATTACATTTACGCTTAGTCAACTGTTGAAATATAAAAAATATGATAATTATATTATCGTTCTCTTTTTTGCTGTTTGCAATAGAAACGGTCGTAAATTAGAAATTAAAACATGCAAAATATTTTTATCAATATTATCGTCAATAGTAATAAGGAAATAAAAGGACATACAAACGTAACATATTGGACATTTTTTTCTTTTACCTGTAAAACAAATTTATGAAAATTCATCAATTACTTTCTCTGTTGTACTATAAATTCTATTAATTTAAATCTCAGTGTAGCCGTCGTAAAAAGTTTTATTTCGTCATAATAAAAGTTCAATTAAATTTAATATTGCAAATTTAAAGTCATTGTTAAATAGTTTAACATTTTTCAAATCATAATTATATATAATTCGTAGCACGCCTGACGATCACGTGACCCACAGATATACCACTAAATTATCAGTATGACGTGACGGTCATACGAGTAGTCGCGTGGTTTAACCTTATTCTTAGCATAGGATACAACAGTTTATCGAGAGATGTCAGATCGAACGAGAGGCAATCTATACGGAAATCGCGAATATGTCCTCGAAACATTTCCTCAAGCGGCTAGAGTGTCACTTTGCTAGCTTTCTCCGTCAATCGAGTTACTTGCGTTATGCTACTAGAGACCTTGAACCTGACACTATACAAAACGATCAGCAGAACGACAGGTAAAGCAAAAAAAGACATTTAATTGTCAAGTTCTTATATAACGTAGAACATGTACGGAACTTTGTCCCGTTATAAGTTACTTTTTGTCATTTACATATAGTATAAAATTAATTATACTTATTACTGTTGTTAATATGTCGTATGCCGTATGTATGTTTATTATAACCTGTACAAATATAGAAAAGTTGTAGAGAACGATTTCAAATAAGTATAAAACTTTTCTTTTTAATTCGTATATCGGTTCAGCTTGTTTAATAGATACATAATTTGTCATTGTTCAAGTATGAAGGAATTAGAAAACGAGTTTAATTTTTTTTTGTTGAAGCCCTGATTTCTATACTTTTTTGGCATTTTCGTAACATCATGCTTCTGTGAACGCGAAACATTTTAAAACATGCAGTAATGGTAGATTATTACGTTACAAGAATAACGCAGAACGAATTGATCAAGTCGCTTTGCAATCGTGTATAATTTTTTGTTGTTCTTCCTTCTTGTGTCGAAAAAGTAACGTCTAAGAAACACTTGAAATTACCGTTGAATGTTTTACGTTATCGTAGTGTTTCAAGTTTATTATAGAGTATTGCTAATACGCTTTTAATCTATCTGTTGTGACTGTTTATATTGTGCACAAGTGATAGAATAGGCGGAACAATTACTTCATTTTTCTATTAGATATATATAACATTATTCATGGTCAAACGACAAGTCGTAGAATCTTCGCTCAATGGGCGAAGACGCGCGACTGCGCGATGCGCGCGCTTGCGCTAAGCTAGTTATATTGTATATACAGTAACGTATCGAGCACGTTAGGTTCCCGACAGATCCGCGATAAAATCGTTTCAACGCCAATTCAAATAAAAAGTACTACTTTTATCAACAATTTCACTGCACTTTTTGTATCAGCGAAAGTTCATCGCAAAAAGCTTCCTCACGTTAATCGACAGTTCGCCTTGGCGATAAACTGTTCGATTAGAACATTATCTGTCGTTGACTGGTTAAGTATTCGTCAGTCGACGAAACGCTTCTAATAAATCAAACTGCGAGTGCAATCTCGAAAAGAGAAAAAAAACCGCGACAAGTATGACCATTGGGCCATGTGATTGATACGTGAATGAGCTCTGCTCCCCGCGCCCTAACCTCACCTCTTCTCGCACTAGTGCGTTCTGCCGTACCGACATTACTCCTCAATCAGCCATAAACTTCGCTCGTCGTTTGCAGGACTCAAAGCAATACTCAGTTAGTCTGCGACACGAAATCATCGACGATGTCAAGTCTTCATAGGGATCAACTTGGCCAGCGGGGACATGGGGATGTCATGTGTCCAAGTTTGTTACGAGGCCTGGATCATCTAAAGAATCCCCAACTGAACAAGGTACGTTAACGCAACTTGTTTCAATTTAACATGTAATTGCGGTGTTTCGAAACACCGGCAAGAAGCACTGACAGTTCGACGTCTAACATCGACATGCTTCGTGCTCGCTAATAATTTCCTTCATTTCAAAAATCGTTGACATCGACCGCTGTAGAACGTAACTTGTTTCAATTTAACATGTAATTGCGGTGTTTCGAAACACCGGCAAGAAGCACTGACAGTTCGACGTCTAACATCGACGTGCTTCGTGCTCGCTAATAATTTCCTTCATTTCAAAAATCGTTGACATCGACCGCTGTAGAACGTGTGATAATACGTGTTATTAGGTGTATATAACCGGTGAAAAATGACAGTGTTAATCGTTTCCTATTTATTACCATTAGAACAGTATCCAAGACTTGCGCACAGTTATCTAGCAGAAAACTTTCCTACGATAATCCGTGAAATTAGCCAGTACTTTATACCAACCTTTTCGGCGCGAAATTTACGTTTTATATGCGGTCACCCCTTCACCGTCCACCGACTGAAAACTTTCCGTTGTTTCGTATCCTTCGAACGTAACCTAAATCGTGCAGTAATTTATGAATGAAAATATCTACCGCTGCCGGTAACTGTTTCATTTTTGGCATGTCTTGAATTAGTGGTACTACTTCTCTCTTTTTATCATGACGAAATATTAACCGCCATTTACAAAATAATCATTTCTGTACTTCTTCGTAATCTGAATCTAACCGACGATTTTAATATCGTTGAGTAACGAGTAATATATAGGGAAGAAATAAACGATTCAAAAGTATAACCGTGTTTTGTAATAGCATTGCGAAAAGTATTCGTACGAACTAGTAAAGCACGGTTATGAACAAGAATCGTAAGAATTGCAGAAAATCGTGGGTATGAAAGTATAATCGATTAATTTGCAACGATGACGCAAGAAAAGCGGGAAATATTGTTAGGCGGATAATTACACGTTTACGTTCAATGGGTCACGTAGTCATCGCGGTTCCATGAAATTCACTTTCACGGCACAGAAATGCCGGGAACGGAACCACAAGTGACGGTATGACAACCTGAGGATGATGAAACAGATGGTTTTTACGCGAACGATAAAGCACCGTTATCTTTATCGCGCTTTTTACATAATTTCGCATTCCTCTATGATCTATCCGTTAACTGATTACCAAATGTTTTAATTATCCTACTTTTTTGGTTAATCTTATCTTACGGACGCCGCGTAAACTTCAATGAAACTTTCGAGTAAAATTGATTTACATAAAAACCAATTTCTAAGTTTAGAATTTAATCGTATTGTACGTAAAAAAAAAAAAGAGGTTAGTTGATTAGCGTGAGAATTTCGTATAAATTCTCGGCAGATGTGGTTACAGTAAATTACACGAATAAACTATAAATAATAATTATTGAAATAATAATTGCAAATTTTTTTATTATTTCCACGATCTTTGCCATTTAATAAATGTTCTTCCGCGTGCGTTAAAACACCTGAAAAACTTAATTAGTTAAACATTATATGGATTACGACCTTGCGGATTTGATAAAAACAGCGTTGGTAGTACACATAGAACGGAGGTGAATTTTTAACTTGTTAATGTATTTAAACGTAGCGTGATCCGTTCTAGCAGCGGTCAGATAACGAAAATAATTTTTTCGATGACTGTGCAATGTGGATGTCGAATGTTTCCACGTGGTAACATTCGACCGTTTATTGCGAAATCTATCCGGAATTTCGCATTTAACGCGCGTCTTACGAAGGCTTAATTCACGACCAATGTTTCTTACGTTTTTTTCCAAGAATTGAAAGCTTCGAAAGCGTGAAAGTAATTTACTGGTAAATTCGTGAATCGACTGGAGCAAGGCTGTCTAATCACTGTTAATGCCCAAATTTGACATTTCATTGAACTTCCGCCCTGGTTACTGATACTCAAAGATGGCTCCCTAGTGATGAGCCACAATAGCCCTTAATAGAAAAAGGTTCAATTTCATTAAGGGCATATCTCAGTGCATACGGTTCAACATCTCCAATCGTAGTCGTCAAATTAAAATAAATACTCGGTTTCGTTCACTGCCTTAGAAACTTGAAAATATAAAAAAGAGAAAATTTGTTAACAAGTAAATTTTTTAATATTGAAAAATATTAAATATTTATCGGTATCTTCATTATCGACGTCCTCGACGTTCAATTCTTCAGCTACAGAAGAATCCTTTTCCACGAAATTCGTTGATAAATCGAAGGTTCACGCAGGACACGCAAAGTACTGTTGCAAATAAGTATATTCGCAGTAGTTGCAGTTAAAGTGGTGACTCGTTCTGAGACCGCTGACTCCTAGGGCCGCGTATCGATCGTTTCCTCGCTTGGCCAAACTCCTGGCAACCGTTTCCATCGCCTGATTGTTTGTCATGGGACTCCGAGGATCCTGTGGAGAACCCGCGAGAACAATGGATACGGATTGGTGGGACTTAGTGCCGGATTTTCACAGAACCGTGCGTATTCCTGAACCTCTGCTCGCTGCTGATGGAAGGGTATGCACGATTTCTATTTTGTTCGAGCTTGTCGCTGTTTGGTTGATCGCTTTGTATTTTTGGTATTACGGTGGATGATTTTGTTGTAGAGGGATGTGGTTGTCGATGGTCGTGAAAGACGAGTGTTAAGGATCAGATGAGGATTGGAGGATGTAGTTAGTGATGGATGTTTGGATATGAATTTCGAAGGGAGTGGAAGTTTTTTGGAATTTGTGAAAATTGGAATTATTTCGAAGTTAATTCGATACTTATGACTTTTGCAAGTCTTAAATTTTGAGTCTTGAGTGTTTAAAGTTCTGATAGGCGTTTGAATCTGGATTTGGAAGCGATTGGAAATTTTTTGATATTGTCAAAATTGGAATTACTTCGAAATTAATTCGATACTTAAAACTCTTGAAAATTAAAATTCGTGGATCTTGAGTCTTGAGAGGCCTTGAGTCTTTAAAGTTCTGATAGGCGTTTGAATCTCAATTTCGGAGCGATTGGAAATTTTTTGATATTGTCAAAATTGGAATTACTTCGAAATTAATTCGATACTTAAAACTCTTGAAAGTTTAAATCTGGAATCTTGAGTCTTGAGAGGTCTTGAGTCTTAAAGTTCTGATAGGCGTTTGAATCTGAATTTGGAAGCGATTGGAAATTTTTCAAAACTGCGAAAATTGGAATTATTTCGAAATTAATTCGATACTTAAAACTCTTGAAAATTAAAATTCGTGGATCTTGAGTCTTGAGAGGCCTTGAGTCTTTAAAGTTCTGATAGGCGTTTGAATCTCAATTTCGAAGTGATTGCAAGCTTTTGCAGACCTAATTCGATACTTAACCCTTTGCAATCGAGTGGCGACTGAGAAGCGACAAAGCGATTGGAAATTTTTCAATACTACAAAAATTCAACTTAATTCGAATCTAATTCGATACTTAGAACACTTGAAAATCTCGATAAGTCTCGAGGTTCGATAGATCTTGATTAATTAAAGAGATAACATTTCGATGCACGTTTCGAACAAGATAGTAGAAAAAATAGTCTGGATTAAAATAAAACAATATTTCAATTAATGTAAAGTAACATTTCAATTCGATCTTAGAAAGAAGAATCCTGTGACTATGATAACGCATGCATGGCAATTTAATTCAATAAGCGATAAATTTCAAGGAAATTGAATACATGGCTATTTACGTCACAAATACCGCAAACTGCTGCACTCTTTCTTTTTTATTCGTTGAAACCTTGCTGTGGTTATCTACTTACCCATACATAAATCCTGGAAACTACTTTCTGTGGTGTAAAATGAATATTATTGTTTTATTAATTTCCTCTACGTTCTAAACGCTCTTTAACATTTTTACAAAACAAACTGTCTTTCACGATGATCTTCGTTCTTCGAAATCATACGTAAAAATAGTATAGGTATATAATTCTGTTATATGTTATAATTCTGTGGAATCTTCTCTTTCAATTTTTTCGTGACAAAAAATTTCTCACAAGTGATTTTTCGTAACAAGAAATTTTTCGTGACAAAAAATTTCTCATCAGTAATTTTGCATAACAAGAAATTTTCCATAAGAAATTTCTCACAAGTGATTTTTCGTAACAAGAAATTTTTCGTGACAAAAAATTTCTCACAAGTGATTTTGCATAACAAGAAATTTTCCATAAGAAATTTCTCAGGACAAGTGATTTTGCATAACAAGAAATTTTTCGTGACAAAAAATTTCTCACAAGTAACTTTGCATAGCAAAAAATTTCTCACTACAAGTAATTTTGCATAACAAGAAATTTTCCATAAGAAACATTCTTTAAATAAGAAACTTCTCATCGCAAGAAATTTCGAATAGTTTAAGTCGACCGGAAAACCACTTTCGTTCTAGAAAGATTCCGCTCGTTCGTTCATCTCTCTGCTTCATGTACGCTCTCATTACGAAATTTCGAAAGTTTTCACCGACATAATGGACCGTCAATTGCACAAGTATTATACGCGATTTGTTGCTTCGTTTGTTCAACTTTCAGAAAAGAATTTTGTAACATTTATTTGATACACCAATAAAAACAGATTTAACGTTACAAGAACCCCTTTTAAAAAGTATTTTCTCAACGTTAAACTTTTAACTTAACTTTTAAGGTTCAAAAGTAAAAGTAGAGAAAATCAGTAGAACTGAATTTTTTCTTAATCCTTGAAAATTGAGGAGAGTCACGTATTTTCTGCATTTTTATTCGCGATAGCGATTGATTTACGCCTGTTTTTCAAACGCATTCCAAGATTACACTTTGACGCCCTTCAAACACGGTAAATCGCAACAACTCGGGGAGATAATAGATAAGTGTTACAAAGAATTTCTTGCCACTCCTCTCCTTCTAAAGAGATACTCAATTATCTAAGGTCAGTACGTTGTAATATTCCGATACACCAACTTGTGTTTCTTTAGTTTTGCGCAAATTTAGCAGAACAAATCGTTCAAACTTTAACAAA